GTTGAAAATCATTTTGTGATCCAGGTGTGCCATGGTTTGCTTGGGCCTCCAAAATGATGACCTATGCTCCATCCTGTGCTAAAACTATGACGCCATCAGGTTCAGGCAAGTGGATCGTTTTTGTAGCTTGGTCTCAGTGTGCTAAAACATGCATGCTGCTGGTTTCAGAAAAATGTCAGCATGCACAGTTATTTCAGAACATAGAAATCAAATCTAAAATAAGTTACTTATCTTTGATTACTGCAATAAATAAATAAATAACCCTAATATTGCTTGCTGAATTGGACTGTGGTTACACAAGGTTAAAAGGATTAGTGCATCTGATTTTTGGCATGCAGTTTACTATATGAAGAAGCTATTTAAAAACTATTTGCTTAGTGGTTCAAAATTGCTGGTTCTATTTTTCTTACCATTTACTTCAGCTAGGTTTAATGTAGATTAAGTTTTAGCTGTTTAGCCACATTAATAATACAGTACAATTATCTGACAAATTTAAAGACAAGAGGGTACAGACACGTTAACAGCAGAGAATACAAAGTTGCAGTTCGATTCACTTGGTATGAGGAAATAGTGTGGCCAAAGGAAGGGGAATTTGGAAGTACTGATGATGAGGCTGTAAATTGCAGGAATTAGCCTGGCAGTAGCAACAGCCATTCAAAATATGTTTAATGTTCATTATTGTTTTGCAGAGGAAGAATGTAACCAGATTCCCTTATTGTTCACTTCTTGTACTGTTTTGAATTTTTTTTATCCAAAAAGAACCAGTATTGGCCAATATAAGTTCACATGACAGAAAGAGGTTCCTTCTTTATATGTTTCTACTGTAACCTTAGACATGATAGAGGAAATCTGTTCTGAGCCATGACATGTTCCAAACTATACTTAAAATTAATCCTGGATAGGCCAACTTTGATAACTTAATAAAAATGCTCCTTAGTGTATTACGGTCCTGTATATGAATGTAAGGGGACCACTGTGGAAGCTCTGATGCTTTATTGCACAGAAAAAGTGCTTTGAATTTTAGCCCTATTCACTTACATTGAAACCACACTTCCCAGGAAGAATTCTCAAAGGCTCACTGTAACAAACCAGGTACCTGTCATTTAAACCAATGGCACTGATGGCTGTTCTAGTCACCTATATTCTAGATAACTGGTGACTGAGCTCTTAGTCTTTTTATAATATGAAAACACTTCATAAGCACATCTAAGTGCAAGACATCACAGTGTGATCAAGAGAAACATTATGTCTGTTTCCTCTGACTCTACTTAAACAGAGGGAAGACCTGTTTGCATGACTGTTGTTTTTTTGTGGACCCAAGCAAGCACTAAACGCAGATATTGTTGCACATTTCCTGCTTGTAAGTAAACTGAACTTTTCTCTAAGAGTCCATGCCCCTGACAGAACGATCGGGCCACAGAAATGGATTCATTTGTCCAACGTTCTTTTGTTCAACATGAAGCTCAATTGGAAAGACATGAACAAATACTGCAACACATCTCTGGATAACAGGATGCCATGCTCCAAAGGCCGAGTTCACCAATGTCTAACCCAGTTTCACCCCAATCAAATCCCAGTTCTTCCTCTGTTGCTACTGTTTCTCCACCTCAGCTTACGACAAGTCTTCTCTGGTGAGTTGGAGAAAAGTGGTGGCGTCTTCACTCAGTGTTTTCTGGCATTTAGGTAGCAGAGCCATGCCTATTCATCTGACAGTGCTAAGCTCGCATTTTCTTGTAGAACTATTACAAGAACGCATGCTGCAGTGGGCACAGGTGGTCCTAAATTCTCACCCTGACCTGTCATATGTGGATTTTCTTTCCAAGTTCAGAAGTTTTTTCAACAAGGCATAGACTGTTTTCACTTCACCAAGATAAGAGACGTTTTGCAGATTGATCCACTGATTTTTAGATTCTTGCAGTTGAAGCAGGATGTTTAACCATGTTAAATAGCAGCCTTACCTCAGATGTGAGGAAAATCCTTTCAGATTGGATTTTTGCATGGTTTATGACACAATATGGGGACTGAGTTTGCATCATAAGAACTCTCTGCCTCTTTGGAATTACTTATTTTGATGTGTATCACGATTGATGATCACATATGGGAGTATTGGTGCCCATGGGTCACAATTCTCAGGGAGCATTGCATTGGAGAGTTCCCAGCTCTGGTGGAGTTTCCACAGAGAAGCAAACTATGCTATGCCGCAAATAAGACAATGAATGAGGCCAACCCATGCAACTTGGCCTAACCCATCTCACCCCCACACCCTATATTGTCCTTCCTTTCAACCTGTTGCTACCGTGTTCACTAAAACCTGACCTGTACAACACCTATCACTTTGTCCCAATCAAAGAGTGAACTGGAAGGCTGCTTTCGACATTCACCTAGCTCAGTTTCAAGTTTCCAGTAATGCCATGTGGCCTCAATAACACACCTACAGTCTTCCAATTCTACTTAAATTGTTTTGTTTACAATAGCTCTGTTAGGTCCACCAAAAATCCTTCAGAACAAATTCTTTATTAAGGGAAAGAAATGTGAATTTTATGTTTATCCCGTTTCTTTCCTACGCCACATCATTGACATCATTGAATCAACACTGACCTGGCCAAGGTGCAGGCAGTAGTCGACTGGCCCGATCAGTCCACCCAGAAACAGCTCCAATAAGTTTTGCTAACTTTTATCACCTTCCTTACACTCGTTTCACCTCATCACCTCATCCAAATTTCCTTTTCTCATTGTTTCTCCCCAGCAGAACATAACTGTGATGTCTGTGACCAACAGCTCTTTATCGGGAAACTGAACTGGCCCTGGAAAAGTGGATACACAGGTTGGTGGGCACTGAGCATCCTTTCATTCTTTGGACAGATCATAAAAACCTCACCTACCTCAAAGCAGCCAAACACCTCAATGTCTGGCAAACTGGGTGAACTCTGTTCTTTACCCTTTTTAACTTAGTTATCACTTACAGATCCTGATCCTAGAATATAAGACCAGACCTGTCAGTTTTCATCCTCTGATTTTGCTTCTCTTACATAGGAGATTGAGTTCCTGTTGCCTTCTGACCTCATTGAAAGTGGGCCTGTCTATTGTAAGAAGGATCATGGATGTCAGGAGACATGGGCGAGGACTCCAGTCATTTTGGGATTCCCACCATTTGTATGGCATTACTAAGCACACTTGTGCGTCATCTTCAAATTACACTGCCTCTGCTCAAAAGGAGGGAAGACTTTCATTCAGGACATGATTGCTGAACTAACACCCCATAATCAGCTCCTGTCTGAACATTTGGCTTTGTTTTTGTCCATCTTCCAACTCCTGTACAAGAAATCCTGGTGTACTTTGGGAGAGAGTTTGGTGACAGCAATTATCTTCATTAGATTGTTGTTTTGTGGAGCTAAGCTTGCACTAAACAAAGAGTTTTGCACATTTCCTGCTTGTAAATAAACTTAACTTATATTCTAAGTCCCACATTTGAGTTCATTCAGTCTTTTTCCCTTATCACAGCTTCAATATTTAAAATAATAATACTTTCAATGCATTTCTTTAAAACTGGCATAGTGTCACAGTGGCTGTGTGTCTTGCAAATGCAGGACCCAAAACACGAGGAATAAACTATTAGGTGGTTTTATTAAAGTAAACTAAAGCACAAAAATAACATGAATAACAAACCCAGGAAAATCACATCTTTGACACAAGAACAGACTGCAAGGGAGGACACAAACATGAGGGAGAACAGAAGCCCACTTTAGGATGAGTATTTGTCAGACATGAGAGCAGCTTTTTCTTCCCCCTATAAACCTAACTTTTGTATTTGTCGTCAAGGTGACATAAGACGACTGTTAGGGTGGAGGCAGAAAAAAGTTGTTCAGAAGGTTGATAATGAGGTCTTTTTATTAGTTCTTTCACATTGTTATATATACAGTGCAGCCAACTAAAGCAAAATAAATTAGAAAAGTTTAAAGGAAAAAGATAACATTTCCATTTAAAGATCATCCTAACAAAATTGAAACAGCATTGTACTTCATGGGCAAACCCCCTTTAACAAGGGCCTCTGACACTATGGGCCACCTACATCATGACCTACCATACTGCCCCTCCAAGAGAGTGGCCTCCCACTCGTTGAAATAGCAGTTAAATACCACTTAAGGATTAAATAAATTAATAACGCTCAATCTGTCATTCAAATATAATGATGATAAGTTAACAGTTGGAACATTAGCAAAAATATTTTTAGAAAATGCCTCAATTCTGCAAATGTTTAAAACCAACAGATTCTTTAACCTCACCAAATGCCACCCCTCCTTCATCCTACACTTGGCACATTCCCTCCCAGGAACTTTACCATAAAAGGAGGCCAGAAATGGCTTTTGCTAGCTGGAGGTCAGGTGTAGTCTGGAGGGGAGGTGAGAAACAAAGTAGACACAAATCTTAAAATACTATGCAACTTTTTCCATGGATTTTAAAATAGTCTGTTTGCGAAATATACAGCAGTTAGATTAAAGGCACTGCGGGATGATTGGAGATCACAGGCTCCCTGTGACAATGACATTTTGTCATCATGCAGCTTATGTACTTCTGCTTGCGTTAATTCATAGATTAGCTAATAAAACTTCGGTTTTTTTTTAGGGAAAATATTACAATTGTGTATTTGTATGTGACTAAGGAGGGGTTTTTTTTTTGTTTTGTTTTTAAAAAGTGAAAAAGTTAGGGTTCAAATTTGGTTTTATTATAAAAAAAAAAAAAAAAGGTCAAGCGGGGGGTGCTGGGAAGTGTTTTAATGCCGCAGATGAGGCTCCAAAACTGAAAGTGAAACTTTCGCGAGCAGCAAACGAGCAGGAGCTACGATTAACGGTGCTAGCAAAGACAAGATGATAATAAATAAAGGTTACACACGCTTACAACTACCGACACATTCACACTGATTGATGTTTAAGGTGCATCGTACCTGTTACTGCTTTGTTCAATGAGACACGACTGGGAGTGAGTAATGAATGGGTATATAGGTTTGTTTATTTGGACGCAGGGAAAGCGAATTTCCTCTGGACTTTTTCCCCTCCATCAGCACGACGAGGGGAAATTTGGCCATCAGCGATAAAAGGCACCCAAAATAACAGGATCTTCGTTAAGCGTGGAAGGTACTGACAAGGTAAGGTTGTTCTTTACAAATCTGTTGATATATATCTTAAAAACAAAAAAGGTTAATGTTAAATATTGACGTAATAATACAAAATAAGAGTGGTTATAAATTGCACAAGTATTATAGAAGTAGGTGTGGCTTGTTTAATATTTAAGCTCTTTGAGTTGACTGATTCCTTTTAGCATCACAAATGCTGCCGTTAATATCAACTTCTCTTTCCACAGAGTGTGTTATGACTTTATTTATCTAATCTTATTATTTATGTGTTCAGGCAGTTGGACACTGATCAGAGTTGATGGCAGTGCATTTCTGCTATTGCAGTGGGTTATTACAAGTGCAGCTTTACTGCCATTTGTAAATACAGGTGTAATGTCTTTAAGCATGTGCATCCAAGAGCCTGTACTACTTTTATTGCATTTTTACTGACTTCCTTTGTGCCCTCTTCTTCCAATTTTTATTGATTTTTCATGATTACCTCCCTGTTCTGTCTTTTTTTTTTCACTCAGATGAAGTGGTTTGCTTTCAGCATCATCTGTGCAGTTTTCCAAATCAGTTACCAGAATCCAAAGCACTGGACTCTGTTGCCCAACAGTAAGTTTGATAGTTGGGAGAATCTGTCACCCTAAGTTTAAATGATTGATTCTTTTCAATCCCTTGAATGTGAATCTGTCTCCCGATAGTTCTGGTTTTGGAGGTGGATGGCACTTTGGCTGAGCAGAACCTGTTGTGTATGGAGTCGCCAGAGGAGCTCATTGGGAGTGCCAACCAGAGCCAAGAAATCTTTTGGAAGAAGAATGGAATAGATCAAGCTCAGAGGGGAAACTCATATCGAGTGCAGCTAGAGGAAAGCTTAGGGGGGGGCAACTACACCTGCCACAGTGAGGATGGATCTCTTCTCAATCATACTATTGTTCTCATCAAAGAAGATAAGAGCAAAAGGCGGAAGATACTAGTGAAAACTGACGAAGGTGTGTGCAAATTTGACACAAATTATACAGCTGAGAAAACTGGATACATTTTAAAGTATTTGTCTTGTGCTCTCTGAATCGTCTTGTTAGATTATCTCAAGTGCACGGCTCAAAATTACAGCGGCGAGTTCTACTGCTCCTGGACCTGGCACAGCAGCCGCAGTGGCAGAGTAGCATTTATCAAAGCTCATCGGTAAGCGCACGTTGTACTGCTGAAACACTTTCGGTTCTGCTCACCAATAACAACAATAAGTCATCATGTAGGAGCTGAGATTGCAGAAAGACATCCATAAACGCCCAGTTATGAAAGGAAACATGTTTGTGATTTTTAAAGGTCATGTACAGGGAACCGTATTCCATGTTTAAAAAAGATATGATAATAATAATACAGCTGCAAATGTTTGTCCATGAGAATCTTGTACAACCACTTGACTAGAAAAGTAAAAAAAACATGCATTTCTACAGTGTTCCTGACAGCAACGCAAAGTGCTCTGTCGATACCAGCGGCCAGTGGACGTGCTCCTCAGGTTACGGCAACTTCAGCTGTACCTTGAGCGACAACAGGATCTCCTGCCTGGACAAACAGCATTGCCCTTACGCCGAGGAGAGCAAGCAGATCTGCGTCACTGTGTTCGTGTTGAGCCAGCACTTTCTGTTGGAGGAATATTTTCAGCGCTTTTACTTGTCAGAGATTGGTGAGAATTCTTTGGAGGAAGCTTCCTCTTTTATGGCTTTTCATTGTTTTGGTCTTACTCTGGTGTTTTGCTTCCGTCTTAAACAGTGAAACCTGACAAGGTGGAGATTGCTCAAGTCAACACCACAGTGATACAGTGGAGTTACCCGAGCTCCTGGAGCAGCCCCTACTCCTACTTCCCTCTCACCTTCCAGATTGCACAGCTCAAGGATGGTTGTGAGAGCTGTGACAACCCTTGCAACAACTATCAAGTAAGTGCCATTTACAGACTGTAAATATTTCCAGAGGAAGAAATGAATATAATGATACACCATATGTGTTAATTGATATGATACAGTGCATGAAGGGTACATGTATAAATGCGTTGGGGTTTTTTTTGTTTGTTTTTTTAATTTCAGGCTTTGACACTCCACTCTACAGACACTTTTCAGTTCAAAGTGAAGCAAAGGGCTAAGGCTGTGTGCGTCAGAGCAAAAGATGCTTTCTCTTTCTCACAATGGAGCGAGTGGAGCCATAAAAGGTTGGTGCCACTCAGTACTGTAACATGGGACACTCGGCATCCGTTTCTTCTGTAAATCTTGCAAGCCACACGTTTTTCCCCATAGGTTGTGATCACATGTCAGAGTGCCGACTGCGTGTTGTCTCTTGGCCTTGTCATTTCCACTTTTTACATAACTCACCGATGGCTGTGGTGTGTTTTTGAGCCTTAAACTTCAGTCTGTCACAGTGCCAAATGATTCTTTTATTTCTTTTCTGTTTACAGGCTGAGGAACCACAGGAAGAAGAGGAACAAGCACCTGAACAAACGAATATAAAAGAGGAGAATCGTGGCGCTTTATATATTTATTTTACAGAATAATTTTTTTTATTTATTTTTTTTTTTTTTGTAATTTCTAATTGTGCAAGTAAATAAAGTTGAGTTTTGCTAAGCTTGGACTTTTTGTCACCTGTCTGTTGCATAATATTGGTGAAACCAAATATAAGCTACCAATCAAATTAACACATCACCCAGATTTCAGACATAATCAGGAGACACTATAGAAGTCATTCAAGAAATGACTGTAGCACTGTTTTCCTATCAGCTTTCAGAAAGGTCAGTGATGTAATATTAAACCCCATTTTGCAGAGAACAATGTTTGAATAACACATGTAGATGGAAATCAGGTGCACAGAATTTCTGTCTTTTCCCTAACCAGTTAGGTGAGAGTGTAGTTTTCGGTAGAAACTCCTCTTTGCTCTGGGACAAAAAACAGAAGTTTCATTAAAACAATTGTTATTAGTCAAGATCTGGCACCTGTGGTTTCCTATATGTGCTTCTTGCAAGGACACTATTTTTTTTTTTTTTTTTTTTTTTTCTATATCAATTGCCTTCTCCATGGTTATATTACAAAATTATAATTTCAGATTAAATCATCACGCATCTGCTTTATACTGAACTAGCTGGCAGCTCTGACTTTTCCATGGGATTCTCTAAAGGACAATACTTTTCTGTAAGGTCAATATATAAACAATTTCTGCCAGTATTGATATATTAGTAGAGCAGCATTTTCCCTTAGCTAAATACAGTAATATCAAAACTGAGCTCAGAGTTCCTCAGCATGCTTGGTTTCGAACACCCCTATAAGAGGAAGCGCACATGTGATAATGTAAGCTTAGTCAAACAGCTCGGCAGTGACCTTTAAACAAAGGAATTGTCAATGTGATTAAAACTATTCAACACAATCTGGCATTTTCCTTTGCCAGTAACTCTTCTTCACAGTGACATTGGCACATCGCTACAAGCATGACTGGTTAACAGCCTAGCGCTGGTGGCAGTAATGTTTACCCTACACACTTTTTTTATATAGTTGAGGACAAAAACAGTGCCAGGCCTGAAAAAAGAATAATCCACAGTAGATGAGCAGTATCTGAAAGCCATGTCCTTAAGAAAAGGGGGGGGGGACATGCATGTGGTCCTTAAGTTTCAAATGAGACTCATCGGAAATGGTCTCAGTGGAAGGGTGACTGCCAAAAAGTCATTCTTAATGAAGAGAAACAAGGAGTAAAAGGCTGAGGTATGCCAAATTACACAAGTATTGAACTGAAAAGCATGCAGTGGCGCACTATCAGTCATGGATTGGCCTCCTCAGAGCCTGGATCTCAAATTTATTGAAACAGTGTAAGATAAACTGGACAAACAGCATAAAAGGCAGCCAACATCCAATAAAGATCTTTGAATGTCCTTCAAGAAGCATGGAGAACTCTTCCTAAAAACTACTTCAATGACACAAAAGGTTGCCTAAGAGAGTTCAGGCTGTGTTGAAGAATAAAGGTGTCCATACCAAATATCAAGCTCGTTAGAATTCCACAAAATATATTATTGCCCGATATGCTGTGTTTCCATTTATGTGTCCAAATGTCTGAATAAATTGTTGAAACTACTTCCCATTTTCCAAGCAAAATAGAAAGAAATGAGAGATGGTTCAAGACTTTTCCAAAGCAATATAGCTATAAAGAATTCTGTGTTTAATACTGTGTAATGTTCACCTGTAGTTATAACCTCTCCTATGAAACTATCTTATGCAGTTATAATAGTTTGCAATACCAGTACCCAGTCACTGATGCCCACTAGGACTTTCTTGGCAAATATATTGATAAAAAATATTATTCTCAAACACTATTTAAATATGTTTGTATGTCAAATGTTGATGTTAAAAAAATAGCTTTTAGCTTATTTAATCCCCGTTATACAATGAAAAGGGCACGCAAACACACTTTAGTGTCTTGTGGCTCTAAAAAGTTCAGTTCAGCAGTTCACTAAATTAATGTTTACTGGTATTGGTGTGTGTGTGTGTGTGTGTGTGTGTGTGTGTGTGTGTGTGTGTGTGTGTGTGTGTGTGTGTGTGTGTGTGTAAAGGGTCCTAACAACCTGAAACTCCAGTCTAATTGTTAATGAAGTATCATTTAGGACCAAATTTCCATGTCACATGCAAGAAAAGTCCAAATAAACAACATCAGACCTAGTGAATCATAAGCGACTCTTGTGTGCATTGGTCTGTAGGTTATGGTTGTTTGTCGCGAGGCCGTGGTAGCTGTCGCGAAGCTGTGGTGGCTGCTCTGTTCACTTCCCCCATCTTAAAAAAGCAGAAGAGGTTAAGTGACATAATGACTTTCGGGGCGAAATACCAAACAAAAAAAAAAGATATGACAGTCCTGATCTACGTTTTAGTTGTCTGCATGTGACAGAGAGTATTTGTTACATTTTTGAGAAATGTTTCAACTTTTATGCTTATGAAAAAGTAAAAGAATACTATGATTTATCTTTAATTTTTCATTTTTAAAAGTGGAAATCTTCTTTAAAAAGCTTCTTTAAAAACACTAAATCGGTATCTTAGGGTTATAGTAGATAGGCCTCTGAGGTCAAATGAGACTTTATGAATGCTATGACATGATCTTTTGATAAGTGATTAAATTAGATCCTCACTGGTTGCAATAACACTTTTACTGGCAGTTAATCCATTAGTTATTCTTTGATTGATGTAAACCATCAGAAAATTATTAAAAACAAAGGCTAATTGTGATTTACCCACGCTAACGCTGACATCTTACCACTGACATCTTTCTAATCTAGTCAGACCACAAACCAAAGATTTTAATTGACTTGCATAAAGAACAAAATATCAAATCTGCACACTGGACTTCAATATATCATCGAAACAATCTTGTGTTTTCAGCTTTAGTTTATAGTAGGTGTAATTTAAAGGAGACGTCTGTGAGGAATTATAACATTTGCAGCGAACATGACCTCAGCTCCAATCTAACCACAATGCTGAATGCATCACGTGTTACATTAGCCACGTGGTCTGACTGGAACAGCATACAGTGTGTCTCTGATTAATGTAGGTCAAAGGGCATGAATGAAATCAATTTGTATGTTTCACAGCTGTCAGTACGGTAAATACAATACTGTTGGTTGTGACTAAAGACAAATAGAATACTTGGTTCTGACATAGTCAGTTTCTTACAGTTTCTTCTAAACCAAGTAAAGATAGTTTCTGTCTCAGTTTCAGTGTATGGATGGATTCTTGTGCAGAGCTGGTAGAGTTTGATTTATATGCAGTTTAAATAATTGTCTCACCTGTCGGAAAACATGAAGGGCACAGCCTGATACCCACTACAGAGTCACTGTTCTTTGCTTCCACTTAGTTCTACTTTTGACATTTTTATATACATGTATTTATGTGTATACATGTGATGTGTGATGTGATGTGTCACTTACGCCTAGTCTTTAAAAAAAATTAAAAATTGCTTAAATTGTCTCTGTGGGGTTTACACTGTGGCCAACATATCCACGGAAATGGGTTTTCTATAAGCAAAATGAGGAATGATTATGACTTCTATAAGACAAGGTCATCCTTACTGAGCCCATCAATAGCAATTGGGGGGGGGGCAAGGTCATGTTTTGGTACACTGAGTGTATATTGTGTGCACATAAAAATATTGTTTCTTTCTATATTTTGAACAGTTTAACTTTTAAACACTTGGTTTAAATACACAACGGGATTAGATTAGATTAGATTAGAATTGCTTTCATTCATCGCTGCCGTCTTACTGACCTTATCCACTCATTTCCTGACTATGACAATCATGGTACAGAAATGCAGCCACATGGACATGCTATGCAAGTGCTGCTGAGACTTGATGGCCCTCTTGCGTCGTGTGATGTCTTTTTTACCCCACTAGATGGCAACATTGCACCTGATACGTGTGCTTTTCATAGGTCTTGACCTGAAATGAAACGAGACTGGGGATTGCTAGAGATATGTAGCCTAAAGGACTGAAAAATGTACAGCACTCATTTTTCATCACAGCAGTTTATTAAATTTCTAGTCAATATTTGCTGACGCTATAAAAGCACTTTAGGAACAACAATTATACTTGTTTTTTCCTTTCATGTTTTATGCTGATATTAAAATGGATCGAGTCTACTGGTGGCTTGACACGTTTTAAAAGGCAAACACCTATATTTGTCCACTTTATGTCGACTGGAGAGCATATTGTAAGACATACGCTCCGCTCTCATAAGCATATGCCCTGATTTTACAACTAGTGATTTTTACGAGTCTTCCGTTCAATCAGGCCATTATTATCATCAGCCCAACCTTTTTGATTTACAGGAACATCTGGCTGTACAAGAGACGGACTGCAGCGCCTACAACTCCTTTCTCATCAGTTACTTCAAAACGTCTAAATCACGCAGGGAATTTTAATAGCCTTCCCATATGTGGACACTTGAACATGAGTCCTCGTCAAGTGTCCTATACGCACACACATATGCAGACGCACCTTTACATCATTTAAATGGCGTGCGCATTCCTGTTTGCGAGTAAGGACCTGAGATATTTTGCAAACCTTACGTCCGGGTGCCAAGGAGTTAGTAAATCGCGGTATTAGCATGGCTGGGAGATCGGGGCCCAGACTGACATGCCTGTTTTTGGATACTGGGACAGTGATATTTGGGGTAACCGTGTGCGTTGGTGTTTGGGGATATAAATATACGCCACCCCGGAGGCCTCCGGTGTTCGCGCGGGCCTGCATGCCGACCAAGGCAGACAGATCACTTTGAGGGAGCCACAATCAAACAAATGTGCTGAAGGATAGATATGAACTTGTGTGCGTGTGTGTGTGTGTGTGTGTGTGTGTGTGTGTGTGTGTGTGTGTGTGTGTGTGTGTGTGTGCGCGCGCGCAAAAAAAAATCGTGAGAGACTTTTTATCACTATTTATTGTGTCGTGTACTCACGTGGTAGGGTGCTCATATTTCTCCTCCCACAGCAGGAGACATAAATAAACAGCTACAGAAAATGATGAGATGATTGCCGCGGGTTTGGTGTCTAACCTTGACCGTTTATGGCATTTCTCGGCGGTTTGCTGGTCGCTTATTATGCCGAAAGGTCACTCAAAAAGTAATAGTTAAAAACAAAGTAAAACTTGTTTGGGGTTATTAGAGTGCCAAAATATATAACCTCATAATTCCAAATAGTCTGTATTTTGTTTTAATTATACGTGAGCTTTTTTCCCTGAGCCCGCAACCGCCAGCATCAACGTGTCAGACTCTTTCATTTGAGCCGTTTTTTGATAAAATCTTAATTTTCAGATATAGCCTCCTGATAAAAACAACAAAACCAAACGACTCTTTCATCCTTTCCATTTCATTATAATTAAGCAAACAGTACTTAGTGAGCAGATGCCTCCCCCGGACAATTCAATTTGACAATTTAGAAATGACTCTAATGATCGGAGGAAAACCAGGACTGGCGAGCAAAGTGGGGAGAGCTGCAGCAGCATCCTCATTTCCTGCTAGAGCTGCTGGATTTGTTCGTCCGGTCTTCATGCATGTGGGCTCACCGCGCAGTTTCATGGCTCCGTGAGCAACCATGCAAATTTTTTGTCACACTTTTTTTCTTCATCTCTTTTTTTGTGCTGTTATTGTTTGTGAGCAGTTGCTTTTGAGTGACTGCAAATTTCTTTTTGGGCAGCAGGACGCAGAACAGTTTAGCTGTAATCCTCATATTTATGTTGGATTCAGCATTTAGTCCCGCAAGATTTATGTAATGCATCTAATCAAAGCTAATTTCAAACCACCGGGCTGTAACACAAAATTGTGCGCAGCGGCTGCCAGGCTCTGTTTTTTCTTTTTTCTTTTTTTCCTTTGGTGCGCTGAAACTTTGTTAAGCCCATAATCTGCCGGAGTTGATACTCTGAATGAACACTTGGACTTCTCCGTGCAGTTGATTCCGAATCTCGTGTGAAAACAACAAGACGGAGCTTCAGTTAAAAAAAAAATACAAATAAATGTTTGAATAAAGTCCTTTTTCTCCACAGCACACGCGTGCAGAATGTGGACAATTAAAATATTGGTTTTTTGGTTGTTTGATGTTGAATTAATCTGAGACATATACGCATAAATCTGCGCGCAGATGGTGAGTGCTTCTCGGATTGTTTCACTCCACTAGTGCATGCTTTGTCACATAATAACGAGACAAAAACGAAAAAAATGTTTGTATATGATCCTCATTAGAACATTTAATCAGAATCTGTTTGGGCTTTTTGCAGATGGATGCGGGGATATTTCGTGGCGTGCAGTTTCTCTTGCTCTTCTCTTTGCTCACAGACGGAAAACTATATGGATCAAACTAACTTCCTCCCTGGAGCTGGTGTTTGATTGCCATGAACATATTAACTGTCAGCTCTAAACACTAAACACAAAAAAGATTTAACACGCACACATCACGCACGCACAGAGAGAGAGGGAGAGCGCGCGCAAAGCTTCAGGCTAAGTGGCTGGGGCGGGACAGTGCGCGGAGCGAGGCGGGGACAGAAGGCAGGCGGGCGGGCAACGTGGTGGTCGGGTTGGTGGACAGATGATTGTCCGCGTTATTAACTATGTTTGAGGCGTGCAGACCACGCCTCCTTCACCTACTAGTCCTCCCCTTTGCGTGCAGACCACGCCTCCTTCACCTACTAGTCCTCTCTCCTGTTTGGCATCCCAGAGATGGTCCAAAGTGATTCCTCAGGGAAGGAAAAAGAGCGCAAATCACCCGAGCGGGAGATGAGGAGGAGTTGAGCCGCTGCTGCCCGGGACTGCCGCTTAATTGCGCGTAATCTTCCGTTTCATTCATCTGAGCTGAGAGAGAGAGGAGGGGAAGACTTTGTAAATAAGGAAACGGAGCTAAGGAAAGCGAAACGCGTTTTCATCTCCTCGTTTTTCGTTTTCTCTTTGGACTGTTTGTTTGCAAAGAAAAAAAAGAAAAGAGAGAGAAAGAGGGGGAAACTGACATTTTTGCTCGCGTTTATGTCAGCTGCACCTTGATCGCCAACTCAGTGCAGCCTCTCATCCTGCGCTTCCCCCCTCTTTCATCGTTTCTCACGCTGTTCATCTTCACACAGCTGCTGCTTCCCCACTCCGTTTTCCTTCTGGAGTCGCTGACACGAGGTGCAGCTAACCTCGGATGCTGACAGCTCCCGGCCTCCCTTTATTCTTTCTTTCTTTTTTTTCCCTTCCACATGTCGCATCTTTTGTTTACTTTGAGAAACACGCCGCAACTAAACGCCGAGTGAAACAGACCACGCTACTTTGCTCGTTCTGACAGCGCGATCAAACAGACAAGCAAGAGGAGGGGAGGCAGGAGGGGAAAAGAAGAAGAAGAAGAGAGAGAGTGAAAGGAGGGAGCCGAGGAGAGGAGGAGAGAGAGGGGGGGGAGAGAGTGAGTGAGAGATAGAGACAGTGTGAAGGTGCGTTTTGATGTTTGGCATCCACGAGAGCATCCAGAGGAGTGGGAGTAGTATGAAAGAAGAGCCCATGGTGGCCGGGATGAACGCGGTTCGGACATGGATGCAGGGCGCCGGGGTGCTGGACGCCAACACAGCCGCCCAGAGGTGAGCCCAAGGCGGCCTTGGCGGTGCGCTGACTGCGGGGCGTGGAGACCGGGGATATGGGGGGGAGAAAAGCCGCTCAGATCTGCGGTGTTAAAGACGGGAGAGCGGCTGCATCACTTGGGGCAGCACGAGTCCCCAGAGGACGCAGTTGTGGGATAATCACCGCTCCCCCTCCAGGCATTTCAAGCCCTTTTCCCCTCATTTTTCTCTTTCTTTTTTCTTTTTTTTTTAGCTCAAAGTCCGACTTTCTAAAATATTGTATGTGCCTCGAAGTTTTTTATTTAACGGATTTCAGGAAGAAGGGGCTGTAACAGTGACTAAAACTCCAGGGCGAGCGGGGTTTAAATGTTCCCTCAGCATAACTTTAGTTTGAAAAAGTGAGCGCTGAGTTTTGCTTAGACTTTTCAGCTCACTTTGTTGTTTACTCCTCCTTTATTATTCATATTATTAGTAGTAGTTGTGATTTTGTTGTGATAAAACCGAGTAGCTTATGTGCATATAGAATTATATTTTTCAGGTCTACAATTTCGCAGTTTTCCCACAAAATAAAAGAAAGTGAATTTGATTTCATTAAAGCTGCAGTAGAAAGTAATGACGCTAACATGGACGACAGGCCTACCATCGAGAGAGCAACTGATGTGTCCAAATTATGACGTTAATATTAAATAGTACGTCGAAGCAATTTAACTTTACGCTTTAACATTTAGCCATATTTCTGTAATTATTGTTGATGAAACTGCAGCTTTTTTATTCAACTGCACAGAGACGAATTTTGCCAGCGATGAGGTTGAATCTGAGGGCAGGTTTCTGTCGTGCTGTGATTCTATTTTCTTCATTTTATTCTTTTTTTTTATTTTTATGTATATATATTTTTTCAATGCCCGTCGTTTTGGATGCTAGTTGGTCTGTGCTTGTGTCCGCAGCGGAGTGGGTCTCGCTCGGGCACACTTCGAGAAACAGCCGCCCTCCAACCTCCGCAAGTCCAACTTCTTCCACTTCGTCCTGGCTTTGTACGACAGACAGGGTCAGCCTGTGGAAATAGAGAGAACCACTTTCGTCGACTTTGTAGAGAAGGAAAAGGTGAGTTTGCAAATTAAATATACAAACACACACACACACACCACACCACCACACACATATATATATATATATATATATATATATATAATATATATATATATATATATATATATATATATAAGCCTTCTTATTTATTTTCATCGTCTCACTGCCTGTAATAAAATATTCAAAGGAAAGAGTACAATGTTTAAATTGCAGCGAAGCATCGACTGACGCCTGACAATATAGTCTAAGTGATAAATTACCAAACGCACACAGCAGGGATTATTACTCCCGAAGGCTTTCCTGATGTGATTTTTAGACGTGGGTTCCTAAAAAAATATAATACTTTCAGACTTCTGATTATATTTGTCATTACTCTGACTTTCTTCATAGCTGCAAAATAATGAATATTACACATATTTACAGCAACTTTTGCGCTCATCTACCGAGAACCATATTGACTTTTATATTCTGTGACAGCTCAGCACAGCATGCAGCCCATTCCTGCAGGTGCTCTCCTGACAAGCTTCTTCATTTTCACATGTTTTTTTAAATTTTCTTTAAAAAGGGAACTTTCAATATTAGTCTTTGAAGTCACATCGATATAGGAAAATGTTTTACTTATTAATAAGTGCTGCATTTATTAGCATTTAACAACGACTTCTTTATAATTAATTATAGTCAAATGTTTTTGTGCTGCCCAATAAGAAGACGTTACACATTGCGCGTTGTCGTGTTGGGGGGAGATAATAAATGTGTAGGAAGTTGTATCATTTTAAAAATAGGAAATAAAATAAAATGAAGCTGTGGGAGAACGGTAGAATAGTTTAGGTTACAAAGCTTAAAAACAAATTTAAAAAACAGTGTTTTAAAAAAACAAAAAACAAAAAAACAATTAATTATTAAGAAGTTGGGTTTCTTATTCTTTGTCAAATAGCCTCATTAAAAGTTACGGATTCCTTTTTTTTATTTTTCTAACTCTTCTCTGCAAACTCGATACGAAGAGGTGAGAGAGAAATGAAAACTTAATTTCACTGTAGATATGAAGTTATGATATTTCGCTGATGTAAAATATATATACATACACACACACACACACACAACACAACACAACAACATATATATATATATATATATATATATATATATATATATATATATATATATATATATATATATATATCAAGTTGTAGACATGCAGTCGAAGTACCAGGACGAGGTGGCTCGCTTGTCTGCTTGCTTTTACCGGGTCTGGTTTAATTTTCATAGGAAATGACGGGGGAAAAGACCAACAATGGGATCCATTATAGACTTCAGCTCCTCTACAGTAACGGTGAGTTTGGTTTCCATAATTTTTATGGAGCAATAACAGAAGCAGCGTGTCAATGAAACGTCAAACGCAAGTGAGAAAACTCTGGAAATAAATGTTTTAGGTGGTCACTTGGTTGAGCTTCGGTTTAGAGGTTTTATAGTTTTCTTCTATGGATTTATTAGCTTTCAGGCAACATGAAAGATGATAACTTCAGATATTTTTAAATTATTGCATTATTACTCATAAATGAAAAAACAAAAGCATGTTTTTTAATTATTATTTGTATTATTTATGTATTTATTTATTGCTGTTTCATTTGCTTCTACCAATAAACGCAGTGTATTTCTCTTTAGGAGTAAAAAACTCCAAGCTGCAAAATAAAACGTCTTCCTTTTAAACTTTTTTTTTTTAAAGTCTTCCTTCCTTCGTTGAACAATTAAGTTGTATTGATTATGTTTTAGTAGACTCCTGCTGTGCTTATTTTCAGTCTTAAGTTGATACTAAATATTTATGCAGATAAAATCAACACAGTAAAGACAGCAAATTGAATTTTCAAGTTCCAACCAAACTGACAGCGTGCAACAAATACTGAAAGTCATTATTAACAGTTTAGACTCATCGTTTCCATGAAGTGGCTCGCAGGGGAAACCAGAAAGAATACATTTTGTGCTCAGAGAGATTCCCCAGCCCGTAAACGCTTTGACTTTTTAACGTGTGTGTGTGCAGGGATCAGGACGGAGCAGGACTTGTATGTTCGTCTCATTGACTCTATGACTAAACAGGTAAGACGTGCTTCCTTAGACTAAAAAACAACAAAAAATGAACTCTACAATGGTTGATCTGACTGTTGCCCCCACCCCACCCAGCCACCCAAACCCAGCCACCAACCCCCTCCTCTTGCCCCCCCCCCATGCATGCCTGTGTCTGGGACCCTCAACTTCAGCACAGCACAGCCTGCTTGATAAACGACCTGTCTTACCTGTGGAATACATTTACAGAGGCCCAGAAAAGTAGAGGACATGTGTCCTCATATTCTACCTCTGCACAGCAGCTAGTGAGGGTGTGTGTGTGTGTGTGTGTGTGTGTGTGTGTGTGTGTGTGTGTGTGTGTGTGTGTGTGTGTGTGTGTGTTTTTAACAGGCAATATATAAGTGTGTGTTCACATGAATGTGTGTGTGTGTGTGTGTGTGTGTGTGTGTGTGTGATTGTGAGTGTGTGAATCTCTCGGTCGTGGCGATGTGTTAGTGTTTGAGAGAGACAGTGATGCATGCCAGCTCACTCTTTGAGGACCTTGACCCTCATTTCCTCAATGTGAAACAGAACAAACTATCCCAGAGTGTGTTATTGCCAATTCAATCGCACAAAGAAATACAGAGCAGCTCATGTGGGCTGGCGCACTACTGAGGGATTTCACCGCTCGGATGAATTAGACAACGAAGAAAGTGAGCCTCTTCAGCGCTGTTTTGATATCAGGTCTTTTGTTTTGCCAATTCTTCCTCTGGTGCCATTAGGCTTGAAGAGAGTTTGTCTGAGATTGAAAAGAGTAGGAGGAGATGTTGTTTGTGCGAGAGCGTGTGTGTTTGCATGTTTATCGGCGCCCGCACGCGTGTGTGAGTGTGTGTGAGATTGTGTTTGTGTGTGTGTGTGCAGGGCGATCACAGCCCTGGAGAGCATGTTGAGTGGGGTTGGAGGGGTAACCAGACTAGATTTTTGGACGCTGTGCTGTATGGACCAGATGGTGCACTATACTCCAGTCTGGCAGTCCAACTGCTCACTGTACACCACGTATAAACATACGTGCATGCACAAACACATATGCACGAGCAGTAGTACACACACACCAACAATTTTGCTCTTACTGTCTCTGTCAGAACAGAGAGTTCCTGTTCAGGAGGACTGGATTCCCACGATACACAGATTTGCCAGATAGACAAACACTACTCCCAGATGAAAGACACACACACATGCACACACATCTTTCTGTTTTTTACTTGCCCCCTGCATCGTAGTTTGACTTTTTTTTTTCTCTTAATACACCACTGAAAAAATGTAAACTACAATCATTTTAACTTTCTGTTATCTTTCCCCCTCCCCTTTCTTTAGGCCATTGTTTATGAGGGCCAGGACAAAAATCCAGAGATGTGTCGGGTGCTGCTGACCCATGAGATCATGTGCAGGTAAAACGCAAAGCATTTTATACCACATTTCTCACTCCGAAGATGTCTTTGTTGGTGTAAAGAGGGGGCAAGGACATGAGGAGCGCTGCTAAATTGCAATAGAAATCTTATCATTTTCCTCAAAGTGGGTTGGGGAGACGGGCCCTGGCCTATTTCTGTTGTGCGTGTATGTGTCGGTGTGTATGTGCGCGTGTGCATCCCTCTCATGTTCAGCTAATTAGGACAAGGAAAAGCTCATTACTCAAACCCATCCTCCTCAGTTTGTGTAATACATGCAGTTTGCTGTGTCCTGACAGTGAGCTATGTGCAGAGGGAGACAGACTCAAATTACACATAAAATAAAGACACACACACACTCAGTCAAAAGTAGTAAGCTGGGAGGACTCTCACAGTCTCGTTGCATGCATTCACAATCAATAAAGGCATCACACAGCGTGCGATTGTCTCTTACAAAACCAGCCATCTAGAAGAACATGTAAGAATTGCATGGAGAAAAATGGCTAGTGGCAAAGTGTAGACACTTCCTGGTTATCACACAAGGCAATTTAGACCACTTGTTTTCATATGCTGCAGGAAACGGTCGAGATCAGAAATCTGATCTGGCTCTCCAGTCCTCTTGTCCTGGGGGACTTGAGAAAGCAGGGGGAGGGTCAGTCTCTCTCCAGCCTTCTCTCACTTGCTTCGATGTCTTTCTTCATCTCCTCCCACACACACACACAGATACAGTAGATGCACACATGTAGTCAGACACAGGTACACACAGACATGCAAAGGCTCAGGTGAGCAGACAAGAGAGAGAAAGGTAGACGCAATGATACTTTTTGGGGGGGAATACAGAAGGGGGGGTGTCGACGACACACAACACGCTGTTACATAGCGGTGCAGTCAAATGATTCAGAAAGGACTCGTCACATCAGTATGCAACCCCCTTCTACCCGGCATGCACTACTCTCCAGGTCCAGTGGGACCACTCTGTGACCCACTTCTGAGAGAGAGAAAGAACAAGCGAGAGGGAGAGGGAGAGAGGCGGGATAGAGGGAGGGGACGAGCACTGAGGAAAAATAGAGAACATAAGATGTCTGGTTTTGTGATGTCTGACAGAAATGGAGCTAACCTGAGCCCTGGAGGCTAATTCAAGTTTTTATCCAGTCCCATTCAAGCTCGTTCCCGTTCTCCTCCAAACTTTGCCTAAAAATCGCCCGGCTGATCTCGCCTACTGTAGTGCAAAAGCCCCAGTCTTACCTTGACAAGCTAAACAGAAATCCAACCCATGCTTCCTCTTGAACTCCACAAAAGTCTCACGCCCCCTTTACTCCCACATCCCTCTCCTATATGCTCATCTGCTTTCTTCTCCCCTTAATGCTGCACCTTATCTTGCTCTCGCTGCTGTTTGCATCCAGGTGACTAACCCCCCATCCTTTTTTTTGTCTCATCCCCATCCCCTGCAGTCGATGCTGCGATAAGAAGAGTTGTGGCAACAGGAACGAGACCCCATCAGACCCTGTCATCATCGACAGGTAAGCAAACTTTGCCCTTTGACCCCGGCACGATGATGCGCTGTCACCGCAAACACAAGTGCAGCAGGTATAACTGTGGAGGGGTGTGTGAAACAAGCGCTGTGGGCCAAGTACAGGAGCAGTAAATAATGGCAGAACATACAAAGCATGACGAGAAGCCATTTCAATTTTTAGCGAAAGAAAGCAGTTGGAAGGGGTCTTTGACATGTGATTTGGCTGAGAAATTGCAACCTGCAGGCCTAATAAAGCAGCCACAGGTTGTTTTCTGGGGGTTTTTGAGGAGCCATAATTGTCTGTGTAAGCAGAAAGTGTGAAACGGCAGTAAATTATATTCCAGCTGTATGTTTGTGTTAGTGTGTTTGCGTGCGTGAAGTGGAGGAGCAATCACGGAGCAGTCGAGCTCTGCTTCAAGTGTGGTCAAACAGCGTTTGTGTGGTCGTGCTGATGACTTAGCTGATGAGCAGTTAGGGTTACAGCTACTACGCTCTGGTGTGTGTATTTCTGTGTATAAATCTCACTCGTGGATGGCTATTGTTAGCTGGGTTGTTTTTTTTTACACACTCACAGTCTTTTGCCTTTCTTCTGCTGTCATAAACTACCTCTGACTGATGCAGCAGCTTGCAGGATTTATAGTCAGAGAGATTTACTGTCCGGCCTCTGCCATGTGTGTGCGTGTGGCACGCGGGAGGACGAGGGAAGGTATTTTGCTCGTACTCGAGCTGTTCTCGTTCGTGCAGATTTAAGGCGGTTCTGATCAGGACTTAAAGAGAGCTGAAGAGACTTTCCATGAAGGAATTTGGAATGTATTTTCTGATATTCAACTATGTCCTAGCCACTGCGTCATTGGGTAAAATGAGGCAGATTGTAGTCTATCTGATGTCTGATTTGAATTTGTCACATTTGAGTGTATTTGTGTGAGTGTTAATGAGGCAGTGACCTGTGCTATCTGATGAACACAGCTGTCCCGTTCTCACTGCTGCTCTGTGGAAAGCTACTTTTTTACCTGTGCGAGTGTGTGTGTACATATATATATATATAAATATATATATTTATGTGTGTTCAAGTTTGTGTGTGTGCATGCGCCACCCTTGTTCCGCTCCACTGAAGCAGAAGGCCTCACCTCAGCGCTCCCTGAGACAGCTGCACCCCACCACGTGGCCTCAGACAACACGCCTGCCCATCACTCTGTGCCATATTTCTGATTTTTGTTTTTCATGTGTGCATACTTGTTGAATTTCTCATCTGCACGCTCCGTTGCTCCGTCTTCACGGACGCCATGTGAAAACTTTTTCTTTGGGTTTGCCGCGGTTTGAGCACGACCAGCCTTAAGTGAAGCGGCCTGATCCTCCCGCCAACAGCTTTTCCAACACTGAGCATGTGTTGTGGTCGCTCGCTGGCGGTATTCCCCTGACGCCTGATGGCTCAGGTGTGAGGGCAGCATTAACGAACAACAAATTAGAACAGGGGGAGAGAAAACAACAGCAATATCTCTGTTTTCCTCTCCAGCGAGCACTCTTTCTGGACAGCAAAATAGGTCAGGTGAGAGGAGAGCAGTTAGGAAAGGTTGGGGGGGTAGCTAGTTTTTAAAAGAGGGGGGGGGCAAAGGGGATTAAGCAGAGGAGGGTTTATACGTTTGCTCATTTAGTACCAATATATTCTTGGCAATTGTAATAATCAGGGATTCATAAACAAACAAACAACTGTGAGGCTGAAACTGACTCAATTACCATGAGCTCCCCTCCTTCAAATTCATAAAGAAATACCATCAGCAGCCCCTCTCCACCCTTGAAGTTATTTAGTTCGTTAAATAAGGGCTCGTTAGCCCTCTGCTGTTTCTCAGAGATGATTAGATTTTACAGCCCTAATTAGCTGGGCTAGCTCTAACTCTTCTGGAAGAGTAATGGGTCTGATTGCCTAATTAGCTCTCTCTCGTTAAGATTGGAGAAACAGGCCACTGCAGCAAAACCACGGGAATGAGGAAAAATAAAGTCAGCTAATGAGAAACTTATTTGATTGTTAGGAGAACAAATCTGGTACAGTGTGGATTGGCAACGCTTTTGGGTACTGTACTCGCTCACCGGGAGAGTCTCAGCCCTTTCTTTATCTCGTCCCCACCCACCCCCTCTGTTGAAAAGAGAATTTGTTTGGGCTTTAAAGCATCTACGAGGAGCAATATGCTTCAGATGTTTTGTTAAGAAGCGTATTTGTTTAGGCAGGAGTCGCTTTAACGCGACGCCAATCTGTACCGCTTTCTTGGCTGTTTTGATTTAGGACTATCGTGGCTCGCGTTGTCATCTCTCTCTCTGCTGTCTGATGTGGATCAGCGCTGAGGAAGGAGAAGAAGAAGAAGAAGAAAGCAACTCGTGCCATATTTTATGTATTTAACCTCAGTAGCAGCGAGTTCTTGGAAATTCAGTCAGACCTTGACATGACACATTGAGTCTGTGCTTGACACTGGGCAGGAGAAGCATCTGAAAGGTGTGATGCTCCTGTGCTTCTGCTCCCCAGGGAAACATGTGTGGTCCACTTTAGCCTCTTACAGAAGCAGGATAATATGAGGGGGAGCCCTTAACCCCTAAACCTCCACTTCCACTTCTCCCCATCACTCTCGGTTAGCATGGGGTTAATCTTATTCAGCCACAGTGTATGATCGCTCTATCACGTGCCCTGATGGGCCCCAAATCACAAACACATTTCCCTCTCACCCATGTAAAGCTTTTTTTCTCTCCCTCCCTCTCTCTGAGTCTTATGTTTGTCTTCTCACTGAACTATTTTAGTATATGCACTTGGTATAATTGTGGACAAATGTGTCAGCCCTATTTGCAGTGGAGGGGGTATGGCAATCCCTCCAGCACCATGTGTCCTCTCCTGCCTCTTACCACCTGTGTCCTGTAGCCCTTTCCTGCTCATCCAGCTCCCATAGGCCTGCTGCAGGGTGTCCCCGAGGCTGGGAGAGCCTCTCTGGAGGGGTGGGATAGAAACACTCTGTGACCAGCGATAAGAATCCACTGGTTATCATGCGTAGCCCGCAATCCCTCTTCCGTTTGCAATGCCAGGACGGGCACAAAGCGGTGTCAAGTTTACATGTACAGACAATGTTATTTCAGGTTTATTGCTGTTTTTTCTTTTCTTTTTTTGAGGGTGTGTTGGTGTGTTTGCCTTTGCACACACTCCTGCAGCCCGCTGTTGATGTGGCCCATTTCCTCGCATGCGTGTCTGTGCTTGTGTATCCGCATCAGTGTTGGTTATTTCCCCAGGAGCAAGTGTGTGTTTTGATAGAGGCCATTTCCTGACAAGTGTGTGTGTGTCTTGAGTGAAGAATGTCGGGCAGGAAGTGCTCCTCCCGGGGAGGGTGATGTCATGGCCGACAGCTTCCTGTTCTCTGAGCCAGTGGAACAGGCTGACTCCTCAGCTTCACGGTGGGTAGTTAGCACTTGTGAACCAGGTTTTGGTTCACCTATCAGCTGTGTCGGGTCTACACCTTTGCTTAAAATAAAACACAAATAAACATCGGGTCAGCGTTTTTTTAAACACATCATTTTTCCAGGCTCATGTATGGCTAGTTTATCTCAGGTCCCTCTCTTGCAAGCAGGGAACCCCCTTATTGTTTTGGTTGTTATGTTTGGATGTACTTCCTGGGGTGAGAGGTCATGTGTTGCCTTGGCTGGGCTAACGTGCACTAGTGAATAATGTATGTCATTGACTTTATGTCAGCCCTGCCAGCCCCCCAAGCAGAGCCCACCCATGTTTAATTCATCCATCTCATTTGTGTGTGTGTGTGTGCGTGTGCCTGCAAATATGTGTGTGTGTGTGTGTGTGTGTGTCATTTAGAGGCCCAGTCTGCACCTGTCCAGCCATTAGCCCCCTTCTCATTTGCATTTGATGCTAATGCGGTTTACTGGCAGTGCCTTCCGTCCCCGTAGCTTAGTTTCATTTTCATATCCATGACTGTGTTAGTGAGAAGGTGAAGGCTCACACTTGCACCGCAGTGATCCTCTCACTGTACACGCTGACACCTGAAGGTCTTTATCATTTGCTTTTCTTTTCCACATCTTGGGTCAGTTTTATTTTATGCAAGATTGTGATTCTTTTTTTCTTTCCCTTTTTTTTTCTCACAGCTGGTTTTCTGTTGTCCATCTGACCACCTATCAGTAGTTTGGCATTTCTCTAGGAGGGAAAGAGAAACTAGAAACACCCTGGGAGTGACACTTGCACGTTCAAGTTGTGTTGCACTGTCTCCCCAGCGACTTTTTTTGTTTCCGTCATAACTTTTATGATCTCGCCTTGGCTTGATTTGTTGCCTTTCTTTATTTTTTTTTTATTTTTTTTGGGGGGGGGGGGGGGGGGGGGTAATGTGCATTTTCTTTTTTGTGCAGTCTTAAGCAGGATGCTATGGGAGGCTTTGAAAAGTACTGGCCCTTAGCTGGATCTGGTTGTTTGAACGGGGCTCGGGGGCAAAGAGGCGAAGTTGCCGGCTCATCGATATGCAAGCAGAACTCCCCTACCTCAGGTGCTAACGGCCTTGCAGAGCTGCCTGAGCTGCCTCCAGCCCAAGTGCACATGCAGGCATGCGCATGCCCAGTTGCAAGGAATCCACAGGCGTTCAGAAATATAGCATGCACAGATGTACACTGACCTGCAGCTTTTTGCATCTGTTTGCTTGTGTTCTTCCCCCCCCCCCTTGCATTGGAGGAAAGCATGTCCCCAGGGTACGGGCAGCTACGCTGATTGACAGCAGGGAGTTTGGAGGTCGAGGAGCCTCTAAAACAGCGCTGCCACTTTCTCTCTCATACAAACCTACAACCTCCCCCCAAAAGCTGTCTCACTTTTATTTGCGATAAATTACCACGCAATTCTCAGAGTTTATGCCTGGGAATTGTTCTGGGGGGGTGAGTTACTTCGTATCAAATTAACCCTGGATAAGTTCGTTTTGTGGAAAGGAAACAATTAGGTACATGTTGAACACATTATTTTATTAATGCTTTTTGTGGGCATGTGTG